GCGGCGTGAAATTTCGACGGGGATATTGAAAGAGGATACTGTTGGACCAATCCCAACCATTTCCAGCGATTTTAAATTTTTTCATTTTTGGCAAAATATACAAAGGCTATAGCCTTTGTGTTTTTAGCGAAAATTGATGGGCCCGGATTTCGACGGAAAAGTAGTTGAATCGACAGGGGTGAACCAGGGGACCACAAAACTACTTTTGGTTTCGCCAGAAACCACCCCTGTCCAGAGAAACTTGAGTTTTAAGGGGCGGTCTTTTGAATCTGGCGGGCAGCGTACGATGGGCTGCCTACCTCGCAGGCGAGCCGGTCCAAGAAAAACAGGGGTAACTCACTTAAAATGGCCCGTTGGCGTGAAATTTCGACGGAGAGATTGAAAGAGGGTGCTGTCGGACCAATCCCAACCATTTCCAGCGATTTTATTTTTCTTTATTTTTGGCCAGATTTACAAAGGCTGCCTTCCTATTTTTAGCGAAAATTGATGGGTCTGGATTTCGACGGAGAAGTAGTCGAATCGACAAGGGTGAACCAGCGGACCACAAAACTACTTTTAGTTCTGCCAGAAACCACCCCTGTCCAGAGAAATTTGAGTTTAAAGGGGGTGGTCTTTTGAATCCGGCGGACAGCGTACAATGAGCTGCCTACCTAGTAGGCGAGCCGGTCCAAGAAAAACAGGCGTGACTCACTTAAAATATGGCCCGGTGGCGTGAAATTTCGACAGAGGGATTCAAAGAGGATGCTATCGGACCAATCCCAACCATTTCACTGAAGAACACTGAAGAACGAAGGCACCACAAAAACCATCAAAATTGCCGTTTGATGCACACCAAAGAAAGCTTCTGTACAGAGACAAATGGTTATACTGTCATGTCAACTCACCTATACTTTCCGGCTAAATAAATGACTCTAAAGACTTTTTTGCTCATGTCAAGAACATTTCTGGGCCGTGTTCCTGCAGTCATATTGACCGGTGCTTTTAGCGCTATTTTTTAAATGATTGGTTTCATATATTTCTCAACTGAACTCAAGGATTATCTGAACATAACATATCCCTCTCCACCTGCACATATGTTGTAGGCTGTCCATATCTCTCAGATACCTTTCCCACAATTACTAGTACAATAGTGGATAGGGCAGCTACAAATTGGCTGTAACGTACATTGATTGATTGATTGTGTAGGGGATTACACAAATAGAGCGGAAACCCTCAGTTGATAATGAAAGCCCACCCCAACCAAAAGTAATACATTTTGCTAACAGCAGCTCACCCATTTGTAAATGACCTACAACAGTATTTGTAACAAACTACATGGATGGAGAAGTCTACCCATTCAACGCCTTTTCAAAAAAGCGTACAGTGAGCCAAGCAAACGGGCATTATTTACTCAACTTAAAAAATAACTTACAGTGCGACCAGAAGGATGTGCCACTTTTCGAATCACGGGCAGCATAGCAGTTCGCAGGCGAGAAGGGGAGAGGAAAAGTGAGACCTTAGGCTGGTCTGCCTATACAACTTATGTTGTGTAAAAATGAGGCCACTGGAGCACACTAACCTCCTACAATAATCGGAACAGAACAATTCAATACCCGGAAACCATAAAGAACTATACCTTGCAATTAATATCAATATCGAAAAGCGGCGCTGTCCACCCTAAAATTCTGATTAAAATCCTATGATAGTTCAAATGGATAGGTATTATCGGTATTGACTAGTCGGTATTGACTAGAACTATAAGTTCTAGTGTTGAGCAGAAGACGCGACACCGATCTTCACTGTTTGTTTACGTTTCAATGAAGGCGCGGGGATAGCGGGGAATGCGGAGTGGGGAGGAGAGGAGGGGGAGGGGACGCGGCAACGGCACGGAAATGGGGAGAGCAATAATTATTAAGATAGAAGTTCTGTTCTCACCAAATTGCATCCCGGCGTCGTAGCGGCGCTCGTTCAAAGCGGGCCAGAGACTCGGGGATCGGAGGTTCGAATCTCTGTGAAGGTGGTGAAAACTTTCTCAGCCCTAAAGCTTTTGAGTGGAAAGTGGAAATGAACCGTAGAGTGCCGACAGCGTGTAAAGGGTAGGTCGGCGCCGTCACGTGTCACCTAGAGATCGCAGGTTCAAATACTCGCTTGTTCGTTTTTCTTTACTGCCCGACGAGACACTCGCAGGCAGCCTGGGTCGCGTGGCGTCGTAGCCGCCCTCGTTCAGTGCGACATCAAAGACTCGAAATTTCGAGTGAACTTCAAACCCGTCTTTTCACCATATCACCCTCGTGGAGTTCCGACGGCGTAGTAGTTACCATCCTGGTTAAACTGCGTCGAAGGTAGCAAATGATTCGGCTCTGGGCCGGGGTTCGACTCTCGTCGAAAGCGGGCCGTGGGAGTTCCCTGTTGTCGAGTTCCCTGTCGTCGTCGTCGTCGTCTGGGTTGGGGGAAGTTGGGCGTGAGCATTTACGACGCCAAACGGACTTATTTGTACATTCGGTTCGGATGAAGCTGCCCCTGGCCGTACGGCTACAATCGTGCAGCTACAAACAGGGGCGTGCGTGCGTATCAGGCGCGCGGGAGGGGGGGGGGGGGCGGTCCCCTGTTGGGCGCACAGGGCGGGCCGCCGTCTCCGCACAGCTACTGGGCGGGTTGGCCTACCCAGCGCAGCGCAGGCGCTAGCACCGGTGTCGGCCAGAAAAACGTTTATTGTGGGAATGTGGGGACACCCTTAAAGTTACCGCCACAGGCAACGTGCCTTGAATCAGAGACCACCTCAAGTCCAAAACAATAAGAAGGGCTGGCTCGCTTCGGCGTTTGTTTTTGAAAATACTGGTTAGTCCGTTAATTACTAAAGTGATAGGTTTGAAATATTTATATTCAGTGCATAAAATGATCAGTATTTCAAGGTGCACTTAGGATGCTCCAGTAAAACAACGATTTGTTAAATTACGCTGTTGGCGAGCCACACCAAACCAGACTTTTCAAGCGAATATCCTCAGACAGTCCCCAAGACTGTCTTAGCAAAAGGAAACGTGCACCGCCCCTCCCCCGGAAGGGACGCTGGGGCTTTGAGGCCTGTGGGCTAATTTTTTATTTAGATATGCATGCAGGATTTGGAATATTTAGATGTTTAAATTATTATAATCATCTTGTATTTCAGCACCAGTAATTTAAATGCACATATAACATAAAACCATTAGCAAACAAATGAAACATGATTCAAAGAATTTTAATGATGAAAGCCAAAGTATAGGGTGAGGCTACAACAACATATCCCTAGTAGAACAAAGTATGACAAGATTTTTACAGATACGTACCATGCCATGAATATAGTGTATTACAATGTCGCTGATCAAAGTCAAATATACTCCTCAAAAGCAAAAATGTAACAGTAGATAATAGAATCTAAAACTGGGAAGCATTTAGAAGCCTTGCATCTATCTATTCTAATCTGTCCATAATTTTTTTCTGGTTTAAAAGTGATGAGAAATGTTTGCCTCAATGATCACGACTGGTTTTAGAAAGATGATGACTTTAAACCTGGACCACAACCATCACTGTTAAAACATATTTGCCGGACCATAGCCTACATTGGATTCCTGAACAATTGGCCCAACATAAAAGAAGGGGGAATCTGAACCTGAGCCATGAAGAGACCTTCAATTGAGTTGATTTTTCTCCAGCATATTTTTCCAATGATACTATTTTTTTTTTTTACCAAAGGACACAAACATCAGAATTGAATGACTAACTTGGTGAAACTGTATCAATCTCAAATATGAAATGTAAGACAACAATTTTAAATTTGACCACAAAGCAGTGCAATTGACGTCTCATTCCCCCATCTCTATTTTTTCCGGCTTTCATTGGACCTTAACAATAGAAAATATGTAGTTTCTGAATACATATTCAAATATTGTATTTCAGATGTTTCTATAGTTCCCACCAAATAACTTTTTGAATAAATTTGACAAAAATTGTGCAATGCTTTGCAAATATTATGGGAACAATAAAGCCAGTCTCAGGTTTGATTATAACTTGAAAACTAATTGAAATGTAATAGTAACACAACACTGTTATATGAGTAGTCATAGAATACATAAGATGTTTATAATAAAATAATTTGGTCACAACAATCTGAATAAATTATATTAATCAAAAATTGTCAATATTCATAACATAATTATAACAACGCCTCATGACACAAAATGCAAACACTTGCATCAAAACACAAATCAATGGACAAAATGTACCTACATAGGAGGACTCAACCGATCTTTTACTCTGTACACAATTCTTAAATCTGTATGGCGAAACAAAATACAATATGTAGTACCTATGCATCTATAAAAAGTGCAACTAATCCTATTGGTTGAGTGACAACTTTTATCAAGGAAAGATAGTAACATTTTTTGAAATGATTTGCATTTTCCAAATTATAGCTTTCATTTTGCTGAAAATAAACCATGGTGTGCCTGAAGCTGCACTCTCTATACTTGTTCTTATAATCCCACATTGAGATATATAACTTATGGCATTTTCACAGCACTGACTTCCTAACATTAACATGGAAAATGAGAATACACAAGGCGAATGTTGTAAGTAATATGTGCTTAAAGTTATTTTAATATGCATAAGACAAAAGCTGACTCCACTGTGCTATTTGTTGCTCTTTGACACAACCTACACGCCTCAGTCTATATTATAGTACCTATGAGTCTGCCATGTTTCCTTCGGTATCACAAAATATTCAGCGTGCTTATATATATTTATATTATAAATATACAAGACACATGGATGCTGACAATAGCATAAATTAAATTTTTCCTTAAAAAACAAACAAACAAAAAAACGCGCAATACCTTTCCCGAACTAATCGAAAATATCACAAAATCAGTCAAAACCTCTGCCTGACTGTATCACACTGCGACCACTAGCTCTTAGCTAGCAGTGTGACTAAAAATAGTGGACAAATTGGGAAAAGGAGTAAAATGTCAACTTTTTTTGAAATTACGAAGGTCGAGTAAAATTTTTATTTTTGTGAGGGAGTCCCTGCCCTCCCCTCGCATATTGGCGGTTGGGACTTCTAAAACAAAGGACTGACCAGCAGTACTGCTAGTTGGTTTACAGAGGAAAGAATTTGATATCCAGTCCCTTCCCTAATGGGTCTCTATGTACTACCAACGTATGTCCAACAGGTTGAGTCAAATCAACTGAAATTTGGAAAACATATGTAAGGTAAACTTTTTCAGATTCTGATTGTAATCGTATTCTGCCCACTTATCCCGACAAATAATAATAACAAATATAATCTAATGGATGTCGATGACAGTAAAATTAACTATATACCGCTGCACCACCCCCACATCAATTTTTGGTGCATTTCTTGACTCCGGTTTCGGAGCGGCGAGTGTCTCACGGCTCGGTCCCCTTCGAGTGACTAGTGTGGGGCCAGACACTGACCGCGGGGTTGGCTTGGGCCTGCTCCCGGGATCAGGGCGCCGGGCCGGGCGGGCATCCCGGGTTGCGGTGGTCAGCTGGTTGAGAAGACCAGTTCGTGAAATCGGTAGATAGATGGATGATTGATTGAATCAAATCAGATTGATGGCAAGGAGGTAAGGAGGAGGGATGCCTCATTTTTATTATTTAAATTTGATGGCGCCCCAGAAGTGTATACACCGCAATGGATCTCTCCTCGGTCTATAAAACCGGGAAAAACTTGCGTGTGCCGATAAATCTCATGTCGTGTGTAGCTGATTAAAATGAATTGGATTGATCATAAAAACGCCTCTGCAGCAGGGTTGTCCACGGGCGAGCGCAGTTAAAGGCAAAGGCACCCCGTCCGCCTGGCCGCCCGCTCCAGGGCAGCCTGCTGTGGCCGGGGCATGAATCTTGCTGGCGCAGGTGAAGCCAAGTCGAGCTGGTCGTGCCGGAGCTGCCACCGCTCCTCACAGGTAAAGAGTATCACATGAGGTCGACCCCACCTGAAACAGACGGGAAAACGAATTCGTTAGCGTCACGACACAAATATCACAAGAGATCAACACGACGTCGTTGTCGCGTACGCCGACAAACGAATGCTTCACAGACCCTATCGAAGAAAGAACAAAGACCTAGCGAAGAAAGGAAATCAGGACCGGAACCTGTTTTCAAATTCACACAGTTTAATAATGTGAAATAATTTTCAAATCAAATTTGGACGCGTTTACGCTGAGATCTAGGAACAATGATTCCTGAACTGATATCCTTTCTGCTATTGTCGAAGTAGTAAGATAGTTAGAACTAAAGGCCAATGCATGCTTGACACCTCCATAGAGGGCAGTGATCTACCCAACCGACCCTGCAGTGTGCGGCTAGCTAGTGGATCGCGCCCACGCTTAATAGCCTATGTTATATCAAGTCAAGCCAAGCCGAACGCGCAAGCCCAAGCCCAAGCCGAAACTCAAGCCCGATGCGACGAATTTTTCGGATTAAAGTTATGTTTTTAGTGTTTTCAGAGTTCATTTTTACGCGCATTGCCGCAGCTAGTGTGTATTTAAGTGCATTTGTGCTACTGGGGTAAGAATTCTGCGTTACTGGGATTACTTTAATCCGAAAAATTCGTCGCATCGGGCTTGAGTTTCGGCTTCGGCTTGGGCTTGCGCGTTCGGCTTGGCTTAACTTGATATAATGTTATATCAAGTTAAGCCAAGCCGAACGCGCAAGCCCAAGCCCAAGCCGAAACTCAAGCCCGATGCGACGAATTTTTCGGATTAAAGTAATGCCAGTAACACAGAATTCTTGCCCCAGTAGCACAAATGCACTTAAATACACACTAGCTGCGGCAATGCGCGTAAAAATGAACTCTGAAAACACTAAAAACATAACTTTGATCCGAAAAATTCGTCGCGTCGGGCTTGAGTTTCGGCTTGGGCTTGGGCTTGCGCGTTCGGCTTGGCTTAACTTGATATAACATAACAATAAACATACGCACCCTCAGCCGACCGGACCCGACCCTAAGACTCTTAGTCGTAGGGTCACGGGCCGGCAGAACAGCAGCAGGGGGTGGCTTGGCAGACCTATGACCCGAGCTGCTCACGGGTCGCGCACAGATTGAGTTCGGACTTGACACTTAGAAAATGTTCTCCACGTTTCCCTCAAAGTGACGTCTAAATAATGGAAACTAAACTACGCAGTCGGCTTGAACCAACAGACTTTCGCGTCTACTAGCGAGCCTTCTGAGGCGCCCGGCGGTTGGGCAGCCGCTGGCCGCGCTACGCACGCTGGCCAGGCGGGTGGCCTACCCTCCCACTT